CCTTGAGGCTCATGAGCTTTGGAAAGGGAAGAAACTATCCACCTGCATGGAAAGAAGCATTACTTTCCCTTTCTGCACTATGTCCAAATATGCCTTCATGTATCTCATTACATGCAAACTATGCTACTTACATTTTTATGACTGAAGACAAATTTGGGAAGAAAGTTGGGAAACTTACAGTGAGGGAAGAAAGTATTTGATCTTCTGCTGATTTGGAACGCTTGCCCACTGACAAAAAAATGATCAGTCTATAATTTTAATGGTAGGTGTATATTAACAGTGTGAGACAGAATAACAAAAAGATCCAGAAAAAAGCATGTCAAAAAGTTATAAATTGATTTGCATGTTACATAGTTACATAGATGAAAAGAGACTTGCGTCCATCAAGTTCAACCTACCTCACATTTGTTTTTTTGCTGTTGATCCAAAAGAAGGCAAAAAAATCCAGTTTGAAACACAATTTTGCAACAAGCTAGGAAAAAAAATTCCTTCTTGACCCCAGAATGGCAGTCAGATTTATCCTTGGATCAAGCAGTTATTACCCTACATTGAAAGATTATATCATTGAATATTCTGTTTTTGCAAGTATGCATCTAGTAGCTGTTTGAACATCTATATGGACTCTGATAAAACCACTTCTTCAGGCAGAGAATTCCACATCCTGATTGTTCTTACAGTAAAAAAACTTTTCCTTTGCCTTAGACAAATGAAATAAGTATTTCACCCTTACGACATAGTACTTGGTGGCAAAACCCTTGTTGGCAATCATAGAGGTCAGACGTTTCTTGTAGTTGGCCACCAGGTTTGTACACATCTCAGGAGGGATTTTTTCCCACTCCTCTTTGCAGATCCTATCCACGTTTGGCAACTCGAACCTTCAGTTCCCTCCACAGATTTTCTATGGGATTAAGGTCTGGAGACTGGCTAGGTCACTCCAGGACCTTAATGTGCTTCTTCTTGAGCCACTCCTTTGTTGCCTTGGCTGTGTATTATGGGTCATTGTCATGCTGGAATACCCATCCACAACCCATTTTGAATGCCCTGGCTGAAGGAAGGAGGTTCTCACCCAAGTCCTGTCCCCTTAGCAGAAAACACCACCAAGTCATAATGTTTCTACCTCCATGTTTGACGGTGGGGATGGTGTTCTTGGAGTCAGAGGCAACATTCCTCCTCCTCCAAACATGGACGCATTTGCCTTGGGCACACTTTCCAGGGGACGGCAAAAAAAGCCATCCCGAATGCCCAGGCAAATACCTTGTTAGCCTGGCGGCTAACTAAAAATCCGGTCGGGTGGGCGGCGCTGGCGAGGGAACACTGATTAGTGAGCTCTCTGCTCAGCTCCGTTGTGTGCCACAGAGTGATGCTGGTCACCTGGAGCCAGAAAATTATGTCATATTCTGGCTCCCGGCATCACTCTGCGGCACGCGAGGGAGCTGAGCAGAGAGCTCACTAATCAGTGCTCCATCGCCATCGCCCAACCGACCGGATTTTTAGTTAGCCGCCAGGCTAACAAGGTATTTGCCTGGGCATTTGGGGCGGCTTTTTTTTGTTAGTGAGTGAGTGTCTGCCAGTGAGTGAGTGTGTGTGTGTATGTCTGTTAGTAAGTGTGTGTGTGTCTGTTAGTGTGTGTGTGTCTGTTAGTGAGTGAGTGTGTGTGTCAGTGTGTGTGTGTGTGTGTGTGTGTCTGTTAGTGAGTGAGTGTGTGTTTGTGTTAGTGAGTGAGTGTGTGTGTCTGTTAGTGAGTGAGTGTGTGTCTGTTAGTGAGTGTGTGCCTGTTAGTGTGTGTGTGTGTGTGTGTCTGTTAGTGAGTGTGTGTCTGTTAGTGAGAGTGTATGCGTGTCTGTTAGTGAATGTGTGTGTCTGCTAGTGACTGTATGTGTCTGTTAGTGTGTGTATGTCTGTTAGCTAGTGCATGCGTTTCTGTCAGTGAATGTGTGTATGTGTGCCTAGGGCAGCACAAAACCAGGATACACCACTGCCTCCAAACATGGCGAGTTGAGTTAATGCCAAAGAGCTTGATTTTGGTCTCATCTGACTACAACACTTTCACCCAGTTCTCAACTGAATCATTCAGAGGTTCATTGGCAAACTTCAGATGGGCCTGTACATGTGCTTTTTTTGAGCAGGGGGACCTTGCAAGCACTGCAGGATTTTAGTCCAACACAGCATAGTGTGTTTCCAATTGTTTTCTTGGTGACTATGGTTCCAACTGCCTTGATATCATTAACAAGACCCTCCCATGTAGGTTTGGGTTGATTTCTCACCATTTTTATTATCATTGAAACTTTACGAGGTAAGATCTTGCATGGAGCACCAGACTGAGGGAGACTCACAGTTATTTTGTGTTTCTTCCATTTGCTAATAATCGCACCAACTGTTGTCACCTTCTCACCATGTTGCTTGGCAATGGTCTTGTAGCCCACTTCAGACTTGTGTAGGTCTACAATATTGTCCCTTACATCCTTGGACAGCTGTTTGGTCTTGGTCATGGTGGAGAGTTTGGAATCTGACTGATTAATTGATTGCTTCTGTGGGCAGGTGTGTTTTATACAGGTAACGAGCTGCAATCCCCTTCAGAGAGTGGTTCTAATCTCAGCTCGTTACCTGTATAAAAGACACCTGGGAGCCAGAAATCTTGCTGATTGATAGGGGATCAAATATTTTTTTCACTCATTCACATGCAAATCAATTTATAACTTTTTTGACATGCGTTTTTCTGGATTTTTGTTGTTGTTCTGTCTCTCACTGTTAAAATACACCTACCATTACAATGATAGACTGATCATTTCTTTGTCAGTGGGCAAACGTTAAAAATCAGTGGGATATCAAATACTTTTTTCTCTCACTGTACTTATTGATTTAAGTGAAAGTTGGAAAGGATCTTTGGATGAAACTCTGGTAGAGTACAAAGGTATGCCTTGTCATGATAAAAAATACATCAAATATGTGCCTGCAGAAAAAGCATGAAACCTGCAAAAAAAAAGCATAAACTCTCCTTCCTATGTCTCTGACCCTTCCAGTGCCATTCCAGTGTCAGGGTTGGCCTCAAGGCGAAAGTCTGCAACCTAACAGAGGCAAGGACAGCGGGATAGGAAGAGGCATATCACTGGACCTTGTGTGGTCAGTCTAACGTAATGGTAGAACTATAAAATAACAGGACTAGAGAAAGCTCCAGACCAAGAGAGAAACAAAATTAATAAAATACAAAACACCCCAAATACAAAAAATATAAATACACAGGAGAGCAGCTTCCACAGTGGCATAG